TATGGTCAGGTCACTGACCAATGCATAAACCTCTAAAGGTTAGGTATAAGTAAACCTCTGCAGTCTGCACTGCCAAAAAAATGTCGCAACTTCGCAACGCCGCCAACGCCAGGCAAAGTGTCGTCGAGGATGATGACACTTTCAGAAAGTAACAAGCTCCCGGGTACTCATACTTCGTATATCTTGGGTTTTTCGTACAATTCATCTTGGGTCAGGTCAGTCACGTGACCTCCCCCATTATAAACATATGGCGGAAATACTGAACTTGCTCTTTTTGCAACATATAGGCATTATAGAATCCGCCAGAAGACGCATAGGAATGTGTTTTCATACGTTCGTCAAAGGATTCCGTGCGTTATTTTGTCATTTTTTACTTTTATGACGTCACAGAGAACGTCACAGAGGACGTTCTTTTGGGTCATAATCGTTTTTCGTTAATAACTTTCGACCAAATTAACCTGCGCCCGACTGGGGGTCCTGGATTTCCACGCCCTGCTGGGGGGGGGGGTGTTTGAACACCCCCCCCCCCTTGTAACTCGGCTCCTGGGCCACGTAGCAATACGCGCAAGGCGGCGTTCGAAAGAGCGTCAAAAATAATGACAACTTCAACGGTTTTGCCTGCAGGGGGCAAAAACTGCAAAAATAGCCGATTTTTTTCGGAAACAGTTTTTCTGCAATAACTTTTGACCCAAGCCTTGTTCGAGCTTACTTTTACCGGCATCGTGTTCCTCTCGTCAAGACGCATCGAATGAACTATAACTTGACCTTGAAAGGTCAACTTGAAAATTTGACCTCAGGTCAAGGTCATGACCTGACCGCAAAGGGTCGTGTTGCATATCAGTCGATCCGTATCGTCGAGCTGAACACATCTAAGGCGTTTTCATCGCTCTAGCATGCCTCTATCAAAAGTTATTTGCGAAAAACTGTTAGATATCATTCGTGACCTAAGATGACCTCAGGGCATAAACAAGGGTCACGGACACCATTTTCATATTCAGTGTGTCTAAACCACTTGTGATTCGGTGTTTGGGAGTGTTTATAATGTCTTTCGTCCAAAAGAGGCGCATTTCAATTTTCTCCCATTGACTTATAATGGGGAGGTCGCAAAATTGACCTGACCTTAGGTCATCGATATCAAAATTCTGAGATAAACATTTTGTACATGCTATTGCTCTCAGCAATCGCTGAAAGTTTCAAAGCGATCGGTCCCTCTGTGTAGCTATTACAGACATTGAAACTTTTTATGAGGTGAGGTCACTTCAAGTGACCTGGTGACCTGACCTTGAATGACCTTGGTCTAAAATTTTCACAACATGTGTAGAATTGATGTATGATAAGGTGTACCAAAAACGGCGGCGCTCCGCGCCGCCGTTTTTGAGATATTTGCAAAAAACCACAAGGGGGGTGTTCAAACACCCCCAGGGCGCGGGTTAAGCTAGAGTCGGGAAAGGCACCATTGTGATTGCAATGAGCTTCCAAATTGATTGATATGCAACCTGACCTAGTCCGAACAGTGTCCTGAGGGGGCTTGACATGACGACCTTTGTGTCAATCTTGATTGTGACCTTTACCGAACAGAAAGTACCCACTACCCACAACATTCGACGCAGCTTGAGAGGAATACGATTATGCCTAAATTTTTGCTCTGTGGCCATTTGTTTGCAAAATTATTTGCTAAAAACAAAAACCCGACTTTAGGGTAATTTACCTGACCAGGGGTCACCAGTTGACCTGAGACCGTAAATTTGAATATCAATCGCTGCGTCTCGTGACCGGTGACGGCCGTCAAGCTCGTTTTTTTCCGCTGGACTGGAACAGACCCTATGAATGCCGCCCCCGTAGGCGGAAAATGTGCCGCCCCTGTACTTGACTGCCCCCACCCTATCGAAATCCTAGATCCGCCCCTGCTACCAGCTACCATAGGTATAGATTATTTGCATTTTGTCAGTGGAATATTTGCTTGGCATTGCTTTTTATCACATCCGTCAAGAAGAAAAACCATCAAATTTACAACTAATGAGGAGCGAAGAGATCAGATTTTTCCAGCCACAAAGATATTGTGCATTCCGGTTACTCGCTATGAGATTTTTTGTCTCGGTGAGCACGATCGAATTTGACACGCAAGCAGACCACATGTAAGCCTTAATTAAGGCGTATATTGTACGTACATATTAATTTCAGCAGCTTATTTAGCTCATGAGATATAACAGAGGGGCCATCAATTGGCTGGATTTATTCATGATAGGTTTTCCCGACCGCCCGCCGCCCGCCACCAATGGCCTCGCGTGCAGGGGCTGAATTGGATCACCGGTCACGGAACCAGTATTGCGACATCACGGCGAACGGATATAAACTGATTTTTGTATGCACATATTACCTAGCGGTTGCCAGATTCTTGGGAACGGGGCAATTGAGGTTAATGCCCTTTACATTGAAATAAGCACAAATGGAAAATTTCCTTCATTTAAATTAAACCAGGATATTCAGAATAGGGAAAATTAGAGACATTGTATACGGATGCAGAGGCATAAAACCATACCAGCGGTGAAAACAGATAAGTTCTTCCATACATCTTTGGAAGCATTCCACCGCAAACATGAGATCACCTTTTCTCCCTCGGCACAAGCTCCCCTGCTGACATCATGTCTGCGCGGTCAGCTGGCTCGGCCAGTACACCCACCTCATTTATGGACCGGTCGTTCTGTCTGTTTGCCTATCCCCCGTGACTCACTGTGCATCACAATGGTGGGGCCGCCGCGGCGCAGATCGTTCCCGGAGAGAGTACATGGCCGCAGGTGGGTCTGCACGTGCACAGAACAGAGAGCCGCCGAGCCGCCGCCGCCGCCGGCCGGGTGGGTGGCTTTCCGCGGCCGTAGCCAGCGTCACAGCGCGGCGCCGCGGGTGTACCGAATCAGGGAGGGGGGGGGGGGGGCAGTGACTGCCGGAGGGGCGGCACTGGGGTCCCGGAGAGGGGGGGGGGGGTGATCGGGAACTCGGCATCCCTCCGTATGAAGGGAAGGAGGCTGGGAGTGAGGCGAGAGAATCCCGTCGTTAGGAGGCCCTTGAGAGGAGGCCGGTGCTGGCAGTGCTTCCTGTGGCCCGGAGCAAGGCCGGAAATCACAAACAGAGGGGCCTCGTGGGAACTGACTGGCGTTGACTCGAGTCATGTTTGGCGCGTGAACGGCACGAAAGCGCAAGAGCGAAACTAAGCAAACTTTGAAGAGCATTCGACACTGTTCACCACCAATCATTCACCATACCTCTATAGATCTAGGCTGCTTAAAATACTGCAATGTAATGGTGGCATCGCTAATTGCTAGCCACAGTGACTCTTATGAATACACCATCATAAATTTCAACCGATGACACCACAAAGCTGGCCAAAAAAATCGCATTATTTTTATGCACATCTACATAAGGGATAAGACAGAACGGTCGAGGTCCGTGTCAACCGTCAACGTCAGGCGGTAGGAATGCACCATGATAACACTGAATATCTGGAAACAACTTCTGACAGCAGGTACATTGAAACCACTTACGGCTACAGGCTCAGCATGGAGACTACCTAACCATTTCAGATAAATCCGAAGCCGTTTTTGAAGCTGAGATTGTTGACACATAAACCGCAGAACGTCAACGACGCTCACAGGAAATTTTGATTGACGTTTATGGCGCTAGCCTGAGATATTAGCATGATGGATAATGACTCAGGGACTTAACACGGAGCCTGGGGGTCGCTTCAACATAATTGTTTTGTTGGACGTCGACAAGTCAGCATTTAAGTTAAAGTTAGCCCTAGTGCAGGCAAAGCTGCGACGAGCTGCCCGACGCTTTCCACTGTATTTGCAATAATCACATTATATGACAGAGCAGATGCCAAGTGAAAGTTAAAAAAGTAAGTCGTTCAAAATGGATACATTCAATGAAAAATCCAGCATTAAATATACCTACATATTACATTAGAGTTTTGAACATGCGGAAAACGATATAGTTAGCTCGAAACAGCCTATATTTTCTTGACATGTTCGCTTCTCAACACACTCCCATCGAATCCCATCGAATGTTGCCGTTTTCTTTACCGATCCTTGTGGATTCGTATTGCCCCGCTAACCAGTGAGCATCATTGGGTTTATCAACCGTTTAGCAAAACGTAAACCCACTCGAATACGAGCCGCATCTCAGCCTAAAGCCGATCGTGTTGACCACTCCCACAGCCGTTTGACAAGGCCACTGTACTGGTGGTCGGGAGACAGCTCTGTGCGGTTCAGCGCGGTGGCCGGGTGCTGGCGGTATGGGCTCTGTGCGGTTCAGCGCGGTGGCCGGGTGCTGGCGGTATGGGCTCTGTGGGGTTCAGCGCGGTGGCCGGCGCTGCGGTACGGACTCTGTGCGGTTCAGCTCGGTGGCCGGCGCTGCGGCATGGGCTCTGTACTGGACCACGGACGCCGTGTGGCTGCCGGCTGCCGCTGCGGTGTGAACATGACACATATCCGCGGATAATAGCCCCGCTAACTACCAGACAACAAGGGTCCGCCGGTGGCCGAGAAAAAACAGTGTGGGAGACTGGTTTTGAACGTGGAGGATGAGTCAACCCAGGTGTGAAACTCCGCGATCTGACTCACAATACCGCATCCGCTAACGATCGGCCCAGCCTGGCTCAATAGGCGATCTGGTCCTCACTCCATTCCACAGGACGTGTGTTTGGGGGGGGGGGGGGCGCTATTTGCATTTAACTTCGTGGCAACCAATCAAATCATTCCCACTTAATGGAAGCCGGAAAAAGATGTGCCCATTTAATTGCTAAATAAATGAGCACAGCTGGTAGAGCTTATTCTCGGAATGGAATGCAAGAACACAACGATTTACCACCACGTCCTAACGGTACTTTCGGCAATGCTATGACATACTTGACAGCCTGACCAATCAGAGCCTGGATATTGTTGGTTGATAAAGATGAACGAGTTTCAAGCGGGAGGAAGTGGCTCGTGTCCGTCTCTACTCACCCGCTCCGGTCCGGCTGGCTCTCGGTGACCAGTACGCGGAAGTTCTTACCGCTCTCCTTCTTCGCCCTGATGAGAGCGTCTCTGACGGCCCGCGACCTGCGAAAATAGGAGCAGTGAGACACTCAACTAGCGTTTCCAGCCGGGCGAGCGCGCTTCTGACGGTGAAGGTAACAAACACATTCTCTGGAAATGCTATTTAGAAGGGACAGTGGTAAGGTGAGTGTCCACGTCCAGTGCTATCAAAAACAGCACGGAAAATCGAACACAGCAAACCGAGCTGAACAATTGAACATGTTTGCAGCTTATAGGATGACCTACATCACCCACAGACCTCTATTCATTTAATGGACAATGCGGCAACCTTATTCCGCGGAGGTGGAGTTAAAGAAGGAACGAAAGCACGGCATCTGACCCGCAGAATCTAACAATAGCCGCGTTTACATAGGGATTGTCGCAAGTTTATAGCTCTGCCTGCCTGCCTTTGATTATTTAAGAACCGACGATAATACAAGGTAAAACAGAAAAATCGCTCTCCTGAAAAATCGTCAAAAGCGAGTTACGCTTCTTTTCCTTTTCACGGCAGTGATGTTGCAATAGATGCCAATGGCGCTTTACAACTTACAAAATGGTACTGTCTAAATCTACCAAGAGCACTGCATCAAAATTATCGCAAAATAAATGAGCTGAAGCCTCGTCAAAAATGCTATGTAACCAGGCATAACGAAAGCTAACACCTGGCGGAACAGCGCCAATGTGGACCCGTACGGCTGCGCTGCCCTCTATGTGCGAAACCCTGAACTAAAAACGCCATCCAGCAGCGTTAGGCGGACGTTGGCAAGGCGAGTGGTGTTCAGATCCCCAGGTGACCCCCCTCCCCCCCCCCCCCCAGCCACCCGGTCCCGGTGTCGCTGAGCCCTTACCTGGAGTGTGTGAGGATGGTCATGTCGTCCATGATGAACGGGTCGCAGAGGTCGGCGATCTTCTGGCGCGCCCCCGAGTACTGCTGGATAAAGTCGCGGCCGCGCTCAATCATCAGACTCTGGCTCTCCCGTAGATGCTGCACACGGAAAACAATGCTGCATTTAGGCATCAACTTCATAATAGGCCTACTAGTAAAGTAAGCTTACTTCCATTCAGACTTCATACAGAAGAGTCATTAACTCTTTCTTGAGTCGATGTTTGTTTAAATTGTTACCGTATGTTTTTTGCTAAGATTTTTGCGACTATAGAAGGCGATTAATTACCAGCTTTTACGACTGCGCATACAGACTCCTGGTTTTGCCGTAGGAATGAAACACAGCCTGAGTGCTACAGACCGGACCTTGGCCACCTCACGCTCTCCTCCAGGGCCACCCTCCCGGCCTCGCCACTCACCCCCTTCTTGTCGAGGTTAGCGATCAGCGTGACGGAGCGCAGAAACAGCTCGGTGCCCGAGGAGACGGACGCGCCGGCCTTCTCACTGGCCTGCAGGATCTTCTGCAGCTGGCCCATCCGCTCCATTAGACCGCTCATAGTCTCGTCTGTACATGCGCAAAAAACGCCAATAGCTGAGGGAGCTGCGGCTTCGGGCTTTGTCTTTTGTTTGGACATCACATTCTTACCATCAGATCATATGATTGTTCAATGATGTGAAAAATATCCATGTTATTGGTCAATTTTTTTTTAACCCTCACCCGTATGGGGGGGGGGGGTAGAACAAAACCCTCTCCCCTCGGTTTTTCGCAAATAACTCGCGTAAAAAACGACCGAACGGGACGAAACTTTCAGTATCCTCGAGTTTATCAATTTTACAGCAACTCGGAACATTTCATGGCCCTGACCCAAATGGCCTTTGACCTGTGACCTATTTCTCGAGAACATGTTTGGACAGAATTGCGATTCGGTGTACCTATGTCAGCTCGCATTAGCCGCGCGTTTGCAGTCTTTTCGTGGTTTCAAGCGTTCAAACATGTGATATGTTGATCCCATGCATTAGGGTTGGTGTCAAGGTCACCTGAAGATCAGGTCAGGTCATTGACCTTTGATGATCTCGGTTCACTGTTTCGAGCTTTACATGTTTCTAGGCCAGTTTTTTTTTTAGCTGATTCGAATTTAGCAACCATTTGAACATTTACGAAGCAGTTTTAGTGCCTTCGTAACATGTTACAAAGCTGTCAAGAGGTGGTTGACACCTACTACGAATACCCGGCAGGACCCCTACTGGCTGACCTGATCTGACCTGACCTGACCTAAATGCATGAATACATCATCTGTGATCAAAACTTACATGATATTCGTGATAAGCACCAATAAAAAAACGTAACAGCAACAGTTTACGACGTTTTAACAGGTCCCGATTTCCCGACTTTTGGTCGACTTATGTGTCATTGACCTGACCTAGAAGGTCAACCAATGATCTAGGACCTTAAAATTGGAAAGCATCGGCTTCCTCTCGTCACGGGCAGCACGCTCATTTTTTTCCAGCGAAGCTCTAGCTCGATCAGAGGCCAAATGGCAAGGGGGTACAACGGACCCCTCCCCCCCCCCCTTATAGATTCGCGGCTGGCAAAACACCAATTCAGGATGGTTAACCTATAAGCATGAAGATCGTGCAATGAAGTGCCTGGCTCATTTTCACACCACAATCGGCATTTCATTCAGTCCCTGACTGAATGCCCCAGCATTTCTGCAGCTCACTGACTTACATTCATGGGTCTCCAGGTCAGTGAGAAGGGTGTTGATGGCAGCAAAGGCAACGGACATCTCCGGGTCCTCCTTCAGCAATGTCGTGAAGGAACGCTGAACAGCTGTGGACACAAACATACAAAACTCTCATAGCTGCCACTGAGTGCTTGTTTTTGAGTGGTTTGGTGACAGTGGTTTTAAAACACTATTTAAACGCTTTCATCCAAATAAATGAAAACACTATGGCCTCTATAAATGTCCCTGAAAGGAGATCATGCCCTGCCATGACCCCTTTGACCAGAGCAGAGACTATGGTTGGTCTAGTACATGGTCTACAACTCCACAATAACTCCAATCGCCTGGTATCAACAATATAAAAAAGCCAGTCAGCCAGCCATATCATGTCCCATAATTAATGCATAATAATGGCTTACCAGAATCTTCCATAGTCATTGCAGCTATTTCAGTTCGAGTGAATTGAAGATAAACCTGGAAAAATTTGAACCCATCAGTGATCAGTCATCCCTCTCCACCATTGTGACTAGAGCCGACTAATAAAATCCTCATTTTTTGTCATTGTGTCGTCATCACAACTGCAATTTGCCAGTCCGTAGCTAAGTTGGTAGAGCATTGGACTCTGTGTGGTAAGAGCACACATCCCGATTATAACAGTCCGAGTTTGAAGAGCTGATGTTTATGAGCCTCCTGACAGGTATGGTTGTGTTTGGTGGAAGGCCATAGCCAGCCAAAGTCAGTGAAAGGACCGGCCATGAGCCGCTATAAGCATACATTCCACTTCAGACTCAGAATTCTGCCATAGATCATGATCAGGAATTGCGAGACTGGAGGGCAGGGCACAAATTGAAATGCAATAGACGCTCATGCCGCCCAGCTGGACGCTGGTTAAATTCCTTTCTGTTGTCAAAGTAAATCTTTGAGACAGTACAAAAATTTGACTGATTTATAATCATGCTCAAGGCAACAGCCGCAACAGCCTGTCACCTTGCTGGCACCTGTCACATCACGCCTGTCACTCACTTCTGCTTCAGCTGTATCATATCAATATGCACTGAAAGATAGGTATAAATATATCTATGGTATAGTATATATATATATATATATATATATATATATATATATATATATATATATATATATATATATATATATATATATAGAAACTACGAAACTTATAATGAAATTGCCTAATGAAGTTTTTGACACGGTGTATTGATAAACTTGATTGATAGTGATATTGATATGGAGCAAGGGATATATGGATATTGATATATAGAACCCAAACCGTTTTTAACCGTTTTTATTATGTTTTTATCAAGATATCACGTTGTTGTTTTGTTGTTTTGGTTTAGGGCGCGTAGCAGCTTGGCTCTTGCGTCCAACTATCAAGATATCTATTTATATTTTATAGTCACCGTGGATATCACGTTTTCTCGACGCATAATCAAGGCCCTATATACCAGGTAGGGTCGTCCGGCGATTCTACCTTTTCGTGACGTCAGCTCGTGACGTCATTTGGAGTCAAGTCTCGAAGCCCCGTTCAATCCCCATATAAATGAGCGATTTTCGAAGCACTGTAGAATGAAGTCTGCACAAGATATATCAAACCTAAGTATCTTATCTGAAAGAGCAGACAATTTTCTGCAAGTTATCTATTACGTGTTTTTCGCTAAATCTTTTGCTTTTTTCACAAAAGCGTAAAATGTCCCCCCATGTCTCCGCAGCCTCCCTGCCGCCGGCCGCCGCGCGGTCGCGGTAGTGTAGTGGTTAGCGTGCCCGCGCAGTATTCCAAAGGTCCCGAGTTCGAATCTATGCGGTGCGGAACTTTAATTGCAATTCCAAGCTGAATATACGCACATCCATAATAAATTATTATTCGTATAGCTAAACTGTCACCAAGCTATCCATATAAATTGACTTCACCCAAAATATCGGCAAGATTCTATTAAAATATAAATTCAAATATGGCGGCTTGGACTGCCGCGTGCGTTAGGCTCCGCCCATAGCTCCGCCCACATGCGTGACGTCATTCGTGTTAGTGGACACGCAGAGAGATAGGGGACGACATGGGCCTGCGCATAATTTACTTACCCGTATAATTTAGGGGTGAGACTAAATGCTTACTTCGAAATCTAAGCTGCGTTGCGGCATTGGCGGTTATGTGCGGCGTGTATGCCGCATGATTAGTAAGCGGCGACCACTAAATTAAAAATTCAAAAGCTTCGACCTGTTTTCAATGGATAACACTGCATACCAAAAATGTCCATCGCTCTCGTCATAGGATATTTAGATTTAAATAACTAACTTATCTACATCATTGTTTTGAACCAAATTAATACTCAGCCGCGAACGTATAAGGTATAACCCCTTGCCGTTTCGCTCCTGATCAAGCTAGAGCTTCGCGGAAAAAACGAGCGTGTTGCCCGTGACGAGAGAAAGCCGATGATACCCAATTTTAAGGTCCTAGGTTATCGGTTGACCTTCCAGGTCAGGTCAATGACCCAAAAGGCGGGAAAATTGGGACCTGTTAGAACGTCGTAGTGTGGCTGCTATGGGGTTTTTCGGGGTGCTGATCACGAATATCATGCTAGTTTTGATCACAGATGATGTCTTCATTCATTTAGGCCAGGTCGGGTTAGGTCAGGTCAGGTCAACCAGTAGAGGTCCTGCCAGGTATTTGTAGTAGGTGTCAACCGCCTCTGACAGCCTCGTAACATGTTACGAAGGCACCAAAACTACTTTGTAAACGTTCATGTGGTTTACAAATTCATGTGGTTTCGAATTCAGCTCGAAAAAACTGACCTAGAAACATGTCAAACTCGAAAAAGTGAACCGAGGTCACCAAAGGTCAATGACCTGACCTGACCTTCAGGTGACCTTGACACCCACCCTAATGCATGGGGGCAACATCATATCACATGTTTGAACGCTTGAAACCACGAAAAGACTGCAAACGCGCTGCTAATGCGAGCCGACATACGCTGAATCGCGGTTCCGGCCAAACATGGTCTCGAAAAGTAGGTCACAGGTCAAAGGTCATTTGGGTCAGGGTCATGAAATTTTCAGGATGGGTGTTAAATTGATCAATGCGAGGGTACTGAAAGTTTCGTCGCGATCAGCCGCTTTTTAAGCGAGTTATTCGCGAAAAACCTTAGGGGGGTTGCATCAACCCCCCCCCCCCCTGTGCGGGCGAGGTCATGTTTTGATAGCAAGACTGAAACAGACTTTTTTGGGTAGCCAGGAAATCGCATGCCAGAGCCTATTCAAATTCTTTTATCGGCCTTTATATGCACCAGTCGCATACAGGTACGGGATTTAGCATACGATTTCCAGACAATCGAACGACTGTTTGGAGACAACAAAGGAAGGAATGAGTGAGTTAAGTTGAAAGTATTAATTTGGTTCAAAATGATGATGTAGATAACCTAGTTATTTAACCCTATTAGTGGCAGGCTCCTGGCTACCCCCTATTAGTGGCAGGGGGGGGGGCTGTTTACGACCCCCCTTGATATCTCGAGATCTAACGGGCCGATTTTCAAAATTCAAACGGCATTCGATTTCGCTCAACGTGATCTACATTTCTAAAAAATAAAAATTAAAAAATGTCAATAGGGGGGTTAGAGGGGGGTAAAAACGGGCAAATTGCAGATACATTTTAGACTGTTTATCACGGCCAGGTTTCTGAACCAATCTTAACGCAACTTTTGCCGATCGATAGAGAATGAACCAGGAATTCACATGGATCCTAAAAATATGCATTTTCAAAAATCATAGGCGGATACAGATCATTGAGATTGGGGGTACACAAAAGTATAGTAAATAAGGTTTTTGTTGGTACTGTTTCTAAAAAGGGTGGTAATGGTCTTGTTATGTTATAATTTTCTTATGAGAGAACGACTAAAATTGTATTGGTAATGCATAGGCGGTGTCAGGGCACCTATGTTGGGAGGTAAAACATAACCCCCCTTTTTGGACGCCTGGATCCGCCTATTATAGCAAAAACGTGTCAAAAGAGGATGCACAATAACTGTATATGTTATCACATGATACCTTGTATTCACTGTTCGTAAAACTGGTGCAGCATCGTGATCTTCGCCCAAATGACTCGCTTCACGAATAGGACCCCCCAATTCCCAGTGCTCTGGAGCCGCCACTGGTAAAGTTATGAACTTGAGATTTTCAGGGAATGTGCCCAATTTAGTTTTAGGAAAAGTCAGAAAATTTCAGCATCGTAGCTTCAGCGGTTTCGGAGATATTCCCGAAAAACCTGAGGGGTGGATAAAAACAACCCCCCCTGCCACTAATAGGGTTAAAGCTGAATATCTTATGACGAGAGCGGTTGGCATTTTTGGTATGCAGTGTTATTCATTGAGAACCGGTCGGAGCGTTTGAGTCTTTAATTTAGTGGTCGCCTCTTACTAATCATGCGGCATACACGCCGCACATAACCGCCAATGCCGCAACGTAGCTTAGATTTCGAAGTAAGCATTTAGTCCCACCCTAATTTAGCAGCCAGCTTATTGAAATCTTTGCGCTGAATTTGTCCTATTTCGCAAGCTCTTTTTAAATTCATTTCATCCATTATTTCATCGATTTAATTTTTTAGTTTATTTATTTTTAACAAAAAAATATAATTGAATTGACCTTTTACACATAGAAGTGACAACGTTGTTTTTGCTCTTAAATTGAATACAATATTTATTAGATTTAAAGGGACCCTCCCACCTTAACATTAGTTTTGAGTTGAGATAGCCAAGTTTGCGGCCAGGCTCAGAAACCACCATTTATCCTGGTCGCAACCCCCGCAGCTTTATGGTGTTCAAGAAATTTCTTCCCTTTACTTGCAGGGTGGGACCAGCGTGGTCCCTATCTCTTAACCATTACGGGAATCTGATGACGTCATCAGGCTCTCGAACGTCCGTTAAATGTTTGACTAAAACGTTTTGTAGCACGCGGTGGCGTATTTTGAATTCACCATAGGGCTCAGCCACTCCTAGCGGAAAATTCTGTGGAATTCTCCCCCTGGCGACAAATGTGGGGAAATGAGCATAAATGTGTAAGTCCCTAGAAACTAATTCGTCCCAAGAAGTCCCCCACTACATTAGTGATGCAAGTTTGACTGGGGTATATTAGAGATGCAAATTACATGAAAAGATGTTATATTTTATGTTAAGATTGAGAAACCGTGCTTATAGTGGAAGGTATGTTAATGATGCAAACATATTAGCGAACTGGGAGTGGTCACTGGTCACCTGCTAATTTTGCGTCATTCCGCTAACGCTAGTTGAGCCAGTTATTGCTTGAAGCGTCATAACTTCGGTATAACTATACATCATTATTTGTTGGCTATTAACTGAGATCTGATTTCTTTATCTTTTAAAGAAGACTTAATATAAGAGAGATGGTAGCATCGTCTTGGTGTCATATCTGATCAAAGCGGCCATCCTCCAATGTCCCAACTTACCCCGCGGCGGGGGGTCAGTTGGGCCAGGGCCTAAGGCAAGTTGGTACACTAGGAAAAACAGTTTATCTAAACACATTTTTATTCATGTTTCACATGAACAATCATCGCTAATCCATGCGGGCATTAACGACAAAACACAAACGTTTGCAGTACTCCTGCGGCAAACAAAAAGGCACACACAACGACACTAGAAGAGAATATTTTCACAGCAAGAAAATCACTTTTGGTACCTGAAACACATTTGTAGCGATTATGAACAGCACTTACCTCAGCACGCGCCGACACCACGTTGACAAACAGACTGTGCATGTACTGTGCATGTACAAAATAAGTTTGAACGCCAACTGTCGAGAAGTATTGGAAATATTCCTTCCGTCCCAACTTACCCCCCCCCCCCCTGGCACCAACTTGCCCCGGTCACCCCCACTTCACCTCTACCACTCAGCGCCCCAGGGGGCGGTTCTGGTCAACACAGGTGGCCAGGCTGTGGGGCGCCGCCGACCGCCTGGCGGAGGCTGCCACGTAGCCGTGCTCCCCGGTGCGCGCGGAGCGGCACGGCCGTCCAGCGGGCCAGCGAGCGCGACCCCGCACGTTGGTGCTGGTGCGACGGGCAGTGCTGGTCGGCTGGACCGGAATCTGGGTGGCGTTCCGCCGGCAGCCCTGCGCACCTCCAAACTGGTGCAGAGCGGACTGGCGGCCAGCAGTGGGCAGCTGGCCCCACCTCTGCTGGAAGGCAGCGGCAGCCCTCTCCCAGGTGTCGTCCTGGACGACTGCCTCGCACATGAAGGCTGCCCACTCCTGGATGAACGCCACGGTTTGGCGTGTCCGGTCATCTGAGCGTCGCTGCTCAGCTCCACTGACAGCCGCCGCCGCAGCGGCGGGGTCCTCGAAGTCCATTGCGTCGTCGTCGTACTCCTCGGGACCAGGCGACGGCTGGGGCTGCGCGACTCCGGGGGCGCTGGCGGGCGTGGGGCCAGGAGGTGACGAGGTGGACGGCTCGGCGACCAGAGGGTCAAACCAGTTGCCTGGCAGCTGCTGGCTGGTCCCCATGGCGATGTCCATCAAGGCCCTCCGCGTCTCCTTTGTCGCCGTCGCCTCCGGCACAGCGCCAGTCTGCTGCCGCACGGCTCGGAGGTGTTTGCAGCCGCCAGTCCGCCGGTTCATCCTGCAGGTGCAGGCGCCGACGTTCAGGTCCACCAGGTAGGTGATGCCGACCGACGTCAGCGACTTCACCTGATAGGTGAACTCCGTCACCTGTGGGAGGGGCAACACATAAAATCCTGTAAAATTCGTATGTACAGTCTGTCTTAAAAGTACCGCGCAAAGTGACGGTGGATCCATCAAGCCTTACTGAAGAAAGGCCTGCTTTACTTTGAAAGTCACCGAACCAATTGACCTGGGGAATGGACGAGAATATCAATTGCTTTGATGACTCAAATTGAGCAGGCCCTTCCTCGGTCAGGCTTGATGGATCCACCGTTGCTTTTTCGCGGACTTTTAAGACAGACTGTACAACATAAACTGACGGACGGTTACTTGTACGAAAATCCGAACCTGTTCATTCGCCCCAGTACTGTCAGCTTGGCCTTTTAAAACAGACCCCCAAAGGGAAAAAAGAAGAAACAAGAAAAAAAAACGCGAAACGAGTCACGAGATGTGGCACACAGCGCCAACACCACGCGGCCCTACAGTGGCACAGCGGTACAGTGACAGACTCTTGTGTGTGAATGCACAGCCATGTGGTTTATTGGTGCTTAGGGGCGCGCCGATTGCATTGGTCACTTTGCACAGCCATGTGGCAGTACGGGTGGGACCAGCATTGGAAAACGAGCTGTCTTATGTGACCTCAATCAGTTCTCGTGTCATGCAAAATACCTGCGTCACAGTGCCCGTTTCTTGGCTGGTGCCGCCGCGGACCGGCGCAGTGCCGCCCGCTGCCGGCCGTTGGCCACGTCGCACGCCCTCCTGGCGTAGTGCTTGCTGAGCTGGACCGTGACGAAATCAAACAGCTGCAGCAGGTTGAACGCCCGAGTCCTGGAAAAACAGCGCGTGTCAAGCGAATATTTCAACAATTTCTTTGCAGCTATAATTAACGGTAGACTGCCAGCGTATGGACACAATAAGGCTTTCAGAAGAGCAACCAAAAGCACAACTAACAATTTCACAACCTACCCGAAATGCGAAAGTTTGTTTTTCTTCCACATGTAGGGTTAACAGAAATGTAAAACCGTGATATTCACAAGTTAATCCGTGTTAATCCATGAAAGTCACAAGTTAGTAATTAACGTCTTTGACGAAGGGATGTATGGTCCAATTCCGTTTCGGGGGCTTCAGGCTCTGAACTTTGGCAGACACTGGGGAGAATTGCACAGTCCTAGGGATTTTGATGGTGTTTTCGAGAACATTTTACCGGCTCACTCTCAGCCCTCCGACCTATATTGAAAGGAAAAACTACTCCCCTGCTTTGGCTTTTTTCCAATTATTTGTCTTTATTAATTGGAATTTGTCTGTAACTGCAACTTTGACATTTCTTCAACATTTGCCACTTTTGGGCAACCTTACAACTTGAAATATTTTAAAATAGTAATGAATCTATTGCAATACCTCCGGTCACCGAAACAGTTTTACAATCAACTTTAGTTAAAAGACAGGTTTGTCTATGAACGCCAGGTTAACTGTTTTATTTATTGAACCGCAATTAGGTGAAACATATGAATAAAGACTGACCTGTAGAGGACAGAGTCTTTGAGGACTCTGAAGGCGGACTCCACGATGTTGTTCGTGTTGTGTCCCCGGGTGGGGACATCCGTGCGGAGGCACAGCGCCCACTCTTGACGGCGGGCAGCGAAACCCTGCAGGTACTGGTCCAGCAGTGGGTAGCGCTCGCCCCACTCGGTAGCCACCAGCTCCATCGTCGTCGCTATCTCCGCCTCATTGTTGGCGTACACGAGCTGTTTGGCTAGTGCCATGATAGCCTGCCTGTGCTGGAAGAAAATGCACAATTTAACTGGTATCCGAGTGTGGGAGGCGGGAGGGGTGAAGGGTGAAGGGTGAAGGTAAATGTAAATATACGGGGTGTTTGAGATGAAATTAATCAAACTCATTTACGTTCTTTTACAGCCTTTAGACCAGTATCACTGCATGTATATTCCTGACTGCCAGCCTATGTCTGTCTATGCCTGACTGCCTGCCTCTGCCTGCCTCTGCCCAGCTGTCTGCCTGCCTCTCTCTCTCTCTCTCTCTCTCTCTCTCTCTCTCTCTCTCTCTCTCTCTCTCTCTCTCTCTCTCTCTCTCTCTCTCTCTCTCTCTCTCTCCCTCCCTCTCTCTATGTCTCTGTCTCTTTCTGTGCCTCCCTCTCTCCCTCTCTCTCTCTCTCTCTCTCTCTCCCTCTCTCTCTCGCTCTCTCTCTGTGTTTCTCAAAAAGGGGTAATTAGACAAAAATGAACGGAAATTCATTCCCAGTAGAAACTACTCACTTGCTTGTCGATGCCATGTTTGCCGTTGTGAAGCCATCGCCAGACGGCCTGCAGCACGTGAAACGTGCACAGCAGGAGCCGCGCCTCAGGCCACACCGCCGACAGCGCGTTCCGCTCGGCCTGACAGTCGTCCGTCATGAAGCACAGAGGGCCGCGCCTTCCACGCCCGCCAAAGGCGCCTGTCAAAGAAGCATTCTCGGTCAAACACGATATTGGATTTTATACACCAATGCACAACTGACTGGACAATTCAGAGTTTAGCCGCCAGATATGGGAATTCATGGCAAATGTAGGTATATCGTACCGTCTGGTAAAATCCCGACGAGCAGCCGGAAGGCTTTGTCCACCACGGCCTCGGTCTCCGAGGTGGAGACGATGACACCGAGAGGCAGACCACCGGCCGGGCTCCAGCACATCAGCAGGAAGACGCGCTGGCCGTGCCGGTTCATCCCTCCTGAGGCGTCGACGAAGACCACCTCTCCCGCGTCGGGGAGCGTGTGGACGCGCTCCATCAGCGGCGTCACCGCCGCGATCACCGTCTCGCCGTCCTCGACTGAGACCGCCGTGCGGACGTCCTTCATGTGGCGGATGAGGTCCATGGTCTCCTCCTGGGTCGAGGCTGGGTAACGCTCCCGACAGTGCTTGTAGTACAGGCTGAAAACACATTGCATTGTCAATTGACTTCCAGCTGCAAGTGGTGGTCAGTTTCATTTTGTGATAAAATACCGATTGCATAACAGTGTACTTATGGTTAAGCTTCAGCTGTCCCACTTGTTCCTGATTCGTCCCAATCAAAATATAGCTTACCCCTCAGCGCATTGAATTACACAAATCCAAGGTGAAAATAATGTTAACCTGCGCTGGGCCGGAAGGGGGGCGTTTAGACGCCATTCCCCTTCAGGTTTTTCACGAATAGCAGGAAAACGGAAATGACCCTGACACATAGGCGTACGTAATATGATTATCGATAGCTTTTACTAAACCAGAGTGCATTTATCGCAGCGTAAAATGTTGCGAGTTTTTAGCACAACACAATTCATAGATAACAGTAGAACTGGATGTGACACGAAAACAGGCAGATTGCAATAGGGGACCCAAAAATTGTCAATGGCCAGATCAGTCTCGGATCGCAACCACATATCCCAGACATGCGGCCTTCTTTTCTGAGTAGCCCTATCATCTCTGCTCCGTGTAACGATCAATTGCATCTCATATATGAGAATCATGTGTAACTTTATAGGGAAAGTCTAATTATTTCAGATACTGTCCCTACAGACTTGCTAACTTGTGGCAGTGTGGCTTTGCATCAAGCTGTTAAAAACTTACTAGTAGACGGCCATCCTATCTGGGACAATGGCTCGGTCTGCGGCCACCGACGGGTAGGCGCTCCCATGCTCCTCCTGAAGCTGTAGTTTCAGGGTCTCCAGCGCCGTGGAGGGCGAGTGGTAGTGCTGGAACAGCTCCATCAGCCGGGCCTTCGTCAGCTCAGAGACGCGTCGATGTCTCAGAGCGGCAGCGTTGTCCACGGCGTGGTTGTGGGGCTTCTTGTTACATGTCACCCGTAGCTCGTAAGCCGCGCATGGGTCTGTAGACCTATTCCTGGAAAGGGAGGATTCGTCAACAAATATAAAAAACACGAGACGATGGTGTTATTCAGAAGAAATTCCGCTCCTTCCACGCACTTTTATAAGGTACCAGCAAGAAACCTTTTGAGGCAAGGAACGAGCGAGGTGAAATGTTTCGGATTATCACCGTTTTTAGTTTTCTGAGCCAAGATTGGCACAACTAAGAAAGATAGCGACTTGAAATCTTTTCGGCAGCGAACTCCTTCATCAAATATGTAGTTTTTTTTTCAATTGCGGTTGATCGTTTGATCAACTAAGGCGTTTGTAAAAAGCAGGGCTGCGGAGTCGGAGTCGGAGTCGGTCGGAGTCAACAGTTTTGGTCGGAGTCGGAGTCGATCTTTTTTCTTGGCCAGAGTCGATAAGATTTTACCGACTCCGGCCATGTAGTCCGAAAATCGCCTTTCATCAAGTGAAATTGTTGTCTGGTGAAAGCAAAATGGCAATTATCCCGATGATCCAAAGTGGTCAGACAACAAAATCGACCTACGATTTTGATCAGCCTTTTCTTTTCTCCCGAAGTTCACGTCTCTGCACTGGTTCGGTGAACCAAAGGGCCAAATAAATGCTTTCCAGAACTAATAGGTCGGAGTCGGAGTCAGAGTCGATTTTGTGAGGCCGGAGTCGGAGTCGGAGTTGGCTAAAGTTGGGTCGACTCCGCAGCCCTGGTAAAAGGTGCCAATGACAAAAGACGGTGAGAAACTTGCCGTTTTGGAGTGTTGGCGACAGTCACTTTCAGGCGCAGGGGGCACCCGGTGTCCTTGGCGGATTGGTTTTTCCTCGGACGACTCGGCTTTTCTGGGACGTCGTGGTGACAACGAAGCCTGGCCTGAAAAAAAATTGACAACATTAACAAAAGTGATGAAATCAATTGCCACTCATTAGTCCGTCATTTAAATGAGGATGAAAGTTTCTCGATTTAAAAACGTTACCTTTTTAACTGACCCTGATCATGGTGTTTCATTAACCCGCACCTTCCTGCGATATAAAAGAGTAAAAGTTACTGGGTGCAGTGGCGCACCCAGGGAGGAGTCAGGGGGACAAAGGGGTCAGCTGACCCTCCCGAAATCTAGCGGGCCCGCTGGTAGGTGCCCGTCCAGTCCTCCGAGACACCCGGTATGACGGCTGGATGACTGGTCCTCAGTACGCGGCATCAAGCTGGGGATTCATGCAGCGAGCCCAGGCCGCCGGGCCCTCTGTCAGTAGACCCCGACAGGCTTTCATACGGCGGGTCTTTGCTGAACCCTCAGGAGGCTCTGCACCAGCAGAATTTTCCATTGGCGGGCACAGGTCGAGTGCTCGGGCAAAAGTACCCCCCTGCCGAGCTTTACACGGCGAGCCCAAACTGGTATTTCATAAACTAAAGCTCTCACCCAGTACACCACCCTTTGGCCATTCGACATGGAGTCGTACGTCGTCAGGGGGATGTTGGCGGCCTCTTGGTACAGCTGAATCCACTGCAGGGCCGATTCCTTTGACGCCGGACATCGGTAGGCCACAGTGGTGCCCTCCATCAACTCCTGAAACGAAATAATGCAAGGTCTCACTGGGGTATTCTTGTCTGGGACCAATGCACGATCGTATTACCGTAATAGTCAGCTATAATGCAGATGACAAATACTTAGTGACAAGACGCGTTATATTCAAATACAGATCACCGCACACACCACTCATACCAATAATATTGTCATTCACAATTGATAAAACTTTGTTACCGAAGCCTGTGGGGAAAGTTGATAGTTCCATTTTAAAAATGGAAGTTTTCATTTATAAAATGATTGCAACATGGCTCAAACCAATTACATATAATATGTGTTACTGCAAATTGAAATTGCCATCATCAGCAATTGCTATTGCTTTAAGCAAATTGCTATATTTGATGCTCACCGGTTCCAGGTCAGGAATCATATCAAGCTTCTCGCACAAGATGTACTTGGCATCAGCCTTCCAGATTACTTGGAAGTGATCCTGTTGGAAGAAGGAATGTTCCATAAAGTTGGTGGCGGACTTGTACCTATTCAATATTTAATATCAATATAGTAACAATGGTTACACAACTCATAATCTTCACTTACAGCATTTTTTAAAAATTATGTAAAGATTATAATTCTGCTGGTGATACCTATAGCCATGTGGGTAAATGTCAAGTTTAAGTCCTAAGCAGATTTCATGGATATTTTTTTTTTCATATTCTTACATTATTTGGCCGATACACATGGAGGTCCCCGCTTCAAAATTAGTTAATTTTGAATTTAGTGTTTCCGACCATTATTTGACATCCTGAATCCAAAAATGATACTTATATGTCTCGTAACTAAAAGAAAAACATAATCAAACCTGAACTAACCTTACCTTTTCACCTATAACCTACCAATCTACTACCTACAAACCTACAATGCAACCTAAAACTTACAACCTAACGTAACCTAAAACATAATTTTTTTGCTGTTACAGATTTGTATCAACAGCGTCACAGTTATAGTTAGGACCTAAAGTTGACATATACCTGTATTTCTTGCGCCCTAACCCACAACAACAACAACAACAACTGTATTTCTTGCAAAGAACATGCACCTAAAATGGAAATACTTATTAATCACCAACCTTTTCCAGCATCTTGAAGCATATATAGGCCTCCGCAATAAACGAGCAAACATGAGACACGAAAAAGGCGCTTTGGATTAAAAGGCGCGCCAGTGGCATCGGAAGAGCTGCCAGATCGGCTGAAATCCCTAGCGCGATTTCGCTTTTTTCCAAGGTGCCTAGAATTCCTCTAGGAATGGCTGAGCCCTATGGTGAATTCAAAATACGCACACGCGGTGGTATATGCTGCTTTGCGCGCGTATTTACAAATTGCAACCGAGCTCCGCCGTAGGGTATTTTATTTCCGCCGTAGTGTATTTAACTTGGGGGATTTTCTATCATACATCTGCCTGAGCTTAGGGTAATTACAATTTGTCGGCGACGTTAAAAAATGATGCACCTTTTTTCGCAGTATAGGATATCGCATGTGCATATTTCTGCCTTTTTGGGTGCGCTTTATCGGTTTTTCGTGAGTAACTCGCGTAAAAACCGTCCGATCGCGACGAAACTTTCAATGCCCCCGATTTTATCAATTTTACACCTACCCTGAAAATTTCATGACCCTGACCCAAATGACCTTTGACCTGTGACCTATTTCTCGAGACCATATTTGGCCCGAATCGCGATTCGGCGTATGTCGGCTCGCATTATGCCGCGCGGTTGCAGTTTTCACGTGGTTTCAAGCGTTGAAACATGTGATATGATGCTGGTCCCATGCACTAGGGTGGATGTCGAGGTCACCTGAAGGTCAGGTCAGCTCAATGACCTTTGATGACCTCGGTTGCTTTTTCGAGTTTTACATGTTTCTAGGCTAGTTTTTTTTTAGCTGATTTCGAATGTAGCAACCATTTGAACATTACAGGGGGTGTAACGAAATTATCCGGACACCTTTCTTCCCGCTGTAATTAAAAAGCAAAACAATCTGGTACTTTTTCTGTGGCTTGAATCAGGCATCAGTGCGCGTTCAGAAACCGTGCCCTCCTATGCCGTCTGGTTGAGCGCCTCCAATCATGCTCCACCACCTTCCCTGGAAAAGCTCCACCCTTGCCTATGGGGCAAATTGCAAAATATAAGGGACAAAAACACAAAACAAGACAGATAAAAACAAAGCAAAATTAACTCATTACCTAATGAAATTCATGCTTGAGCAAAAACATAGGTAATAGGCCTATCTATGTCAAAATAGAATGAAAGATTAAAATCAACCTGACCAGGCCTTACGGTCTGACCTGGTCCTAACCACCTTACTTCGCCTAACTTAACCCAATTCAACCTGCCTACTGTAATGTACCCGTGATGCCAGCGGCAGCGCTACCGCCAACACCCGTTCTATCCCCCGACAGCCGTCTGCCACCCGGCCGTGGTGGTCCAACTATTGCATTTACTTTACTTTGGCATCCGGTGGACAGGGAATGCATCACCTTTGGGCACACACGGTTGGGTCGCGCACCCTCGTGGGTTGCGGTGTGCATTACACCGTCTTAATTGCAAGTTACGTTATTATTACATTTACGTTACGTTAATGTTTAAACTCCGTGACTCATTCATTATCTCCGTCTTTCGTCTCTCGTCTCGAATGTCTCTCTCTGCCAAACAAGATAAAGATTTCTGCTCCGTTATTATTTATATAAAACAAGTATAACGCCAAAGAATGAAACAAGACTGCTCGGGAATGTACGTCTACGGGAAATTGCGTCGCCTCAGAATAAACGCGCAGATTAGCCTAACATACCCTAACACGCGCAATCTACACATTTACTTTACCTTGCTCCTAGCCTAGCTAGGGAGGCGGGGTGAGCACAAAGCCCCATCCTCCGGGTCAGCGGGACACCTACCTCGAGCGAAGCCACCACACGAGAGCCCCGATCGGCCGGCGCTCACGCGTTATAACCCAGCTCGAGGCGGGAGTCGGAACGGTCAGCCCGCCCGAGGTGAAAGCCAGCCTCGCGTTCCGACGCGGCGCCCGTCGACCAGGAAAACCTATTCCTACAGGCGCGGGCTTTACACTACCACAACACCTGCAGAGGTACCTTCCTGGAAAAATGACGCCCAGGGAGGTGACTGTCCAACTTATTGGAATACTACCATGATTGCTTGTCAAAGTGTGTGTCATCATGCTCTCGTTTGACAAGTGATGTATAATAAATGTGATATTCAATAATTATCTCCTGACTGCTGACTGTTGAGTGATCAAAATATTCAAATAATCAGGGTACAATGCTGTGCATAGTGCACACTAATCATGTTGTTTTTGTGTAGGCCCTCTGCACATTGTTGTGTTCACTGCTATGTGCACCTTAAGTAAAAAAGTGACTGGTGGTACATGACAAAAGGTTGTGCAACTGTGAAGTTCATGCCCTTGGTCAAGCTGGTGCCAAATGCCTATAGCTATAGTATAGCAGGATCACTGATCAGTGAGGGTTGTAGACATGCTAGCTACATACATTGTGCATTGAAGATATTGGCACAAAGTTCATCCGTAATTACTATGCTTAACACCTAATGTAAGAAGCGACATAAATGCCCAGATGATAAAACTCTCTGGTCAACATCACACAAATTTATTGACAAACTTTGCAGGTACATATTTACATTCATGGCAAAATATACTTTCGATTTGATTCAGAAACTAGTTGCTAGTAAACTTGCATTTTTGTAGGTACAACAACGACCATATATTGAATCATAAAAAACCTCATGGCATTCATCAGTCATCACATACCTTTTTACCGAACAAGTACCTAGCTACCATGCAATGATTCTAAAAATTTCCGCAATCCATCTATATCTCAACTGACACAATGAATTTGAAATACCCTAACAAAACCTATAACTGTACATAAAAATAATGCAATACTACAAGAACTATGAATTTCTGAAGTTATTCTCACATGCTGGAATGTTGAAACTCTACTTTTGTCATCCATTTCCACGTTTGATTGAGCCATCATATCAAACTGTTTTCGTTCTTCAGTCACAAGCTTTCGCACAAATCTGGAATTTTTACACATCATCTTGAACCATGCTCCAGTCTTTCCAACAAGGTACTATGTAACATCAAAGCAATTTTGATTTGTTACAACAGCTTCAGATCATGATAGGCTTGAGGTTTGTTACACCATTTGCCAGACAAATCTCTGCAAAATGTCTAGTGTATCAATTCCCAAACTAAGTAATTGATCATATCAGTATTTGCAGTTTCCACACAATGTTTCATAATATTATTCTATGTTTATATAAAGAAACTCAAATAATCCACAAATTGTTATCGAAACACTCCCACTTCAAGAACTCACAGAAACAGTACAAGTTCAGAAGCAAACAAACATTGCGCCAGATTTCGTATGAAACGCGCCATCGTCCTGAAGTTTCTACCACAGACGGTAGTTCAACCGCAGCCGTAGTGCGAAAACCCCTGCCCACCTTACCCCACGGCGGAGCTCGGTTGCAATTTGTAAATACGCGCTTTGCGCGCAACAAATGCCGCACTTTCAAATAAAGTCGCTAGGAACAGCGGAGATCCCAAAAAGTAAACAAAAGTAAAAGTCTAATATCTTGAAAACCGGTGAATATTTTTCGGTGAAATTTGGTAGATATTCGTTTTCGCTCTTTCTGAACCGAGCGACATCACTTTCATGCCAATTCATTAACTTTTTTGAAGGTGGGAGGGTCCCTTTAAGAATTGTACAGGTTCATTACGAACGCAGCTGAGACAATTATATTATGTTCAAAATTTGTTCAAGACATGACTTCTTGAGGGTAGTGCGCAATATTGACTAATTACAGTACGATACAAGTCGAAAGTCACTTTCGCAAGCTGCCATCTTTTCTTTTTGATCAGCAGCAAATAGAACGTCAGCATTTGGTCAGTCGTCGTCGGAGTGCTTCGAGAGTTATACGACGGCCGTGTGAATCTTTTTTTCTTCAACTGGATTACGATTTAAACCATCCTTTTGAAAATGGCTAAATGCCTCGCCATAGGATGCCCATCAAACTCATCACATGTTCAAGCTCGATTGCAGGAAAGCTCATACAAATTAACGAGATTTATGCTAATGTTCCTTTTCGTTTGCCAGATATACATTCTGTTATTTGACTGTATGGCTTCATGCAGTAAGGATTCAGGTAAGTTACTGAAAAAGCAACAATGCTGAATTTTGTAACAGTCTTATATGATTTTCGGACTGGTGCTTTATTAGAGTAGGGGTTTGAACACCATTCCTGTAATTTCCTGTTACCTGGTAATTCATTAGTATTAGGGTAAACACCAAACTCAGCATAAGGGTATGGTGTTTGTTTATTTGGTCATAAGCAGTTTGTGAACAAGGATCATTTGTTTCATAGGAATAGAGACTGAGGGTGATAGGATCTCAAACTGAGGTTCCCCAAATTGCCACGCACAGACTCCAAAGAAGACTTGTTATAATCAGAAGCACTGCAATATGCAAAACATAAATAAAAACTTGCAAGGTCAAAGAACTCCCCACAAACATTTATACCTGAAAATATTTGTTTAGTCAGAGGAAAGTTACCATATGAAAATTTGGTCATTCATCAAATAATTCCCACTTTAGTCCTGTGTATGCTTGAATATACATTTGCCTTGTCTGGCTGACGTCACCCCTGCTCCCCTGTCTGCCCACAGGACAGCTGGACCGGGTGATGACGTTCCACCACTACAGTGCCATGTTTGCGCTCGAAGACGTCTTTTTCGAGATCGTGTCGCCGGAAGTGCTGCAGTACACCTACCTGATCCAGGTGACTCGTGATTTCGGCACCCCTTTCAACTTTACGCTGCGGGGCGCGCGCCTCGTGCCCGCCGACCCGTCGTTCGCCTGCGGACCGCTCGCCAACTGTGACGACATCGAGGGAGGCGTCGCCTTCGTTCAGAGGGGGTGAGTGCTGGGTTTTGGAGAAGGATTTGGTAGGATAAGCCACACATAGGATGCACACAGAGGATGCATAATGTGCCATTCTTCACATGCTGACGTTTCCAACTAGGTTTAGGATGAGGTTTAATCGGATTGGCTGCTGTCTACTCGGTGCCCACGTCAGTTATGAGGTAGTTATACATTTATAATTTCAGTGTGTAAACACTTCTTGAGAATTGAGTAGCCATGCGTCATTGACACACTAATGCGATGCTCGTGCTCATTGTTCACAATATCGTTTAAGTACGTTTATTGTGCCGCAGGGATTGTCCGTTCGTCGAGAAGGCGATGAACGCCCAGCTCTGCGGGGCGCGCGCCGTGCTCGTGTTCGACGACGACCCGGAGAATGTCGAACACTTCATAGAGATGACGTCGGAGAGCAAAACAATGCACCCCACCATACCCGCGGCGTTCCTGCTCGGAAAGAACGGGTGAGTGGTGAAAATGCCGATCACGTGTGGATGTTGTTTTTTAAATCGCACGTCTAGGATGTTTCGACACATATTCCGTTTGTGTTGGAGTTTTCATTCATTTTCGTGGCTTCAGTGATCATTTAACCCGCGCCCTGCTGGGGGGGGGTGTTTGAACCCCTTGTGGTTTTTTGCGAATATCTCAAAAACGGCGGCGCGGAGCGCCGCCGTTTTTGGTACACCCTATCATACATCAATTCTACACATGTTGTGAAAATTTCAGACCAAGGTCATTCAAGGTCAGGTCACCAGGTCACTTGAAGTGACCTCACCTCATAAAGAGTTTCAATGTCTGTCATAGCTACACCGAGTGACCGATTGCTTTGAAACTTTCAGCGATTGCTAAGAGCAATAGCATGTACAAAATGTATATCTCAGAATTTTGATATCGATGACCTAAGGTCAGGTCAATTTTGCGATCTCCCCATTATAAGTCAATGGGAGAAAATTGAAATACGCCTCTTTTGGATGAAAGACATTATAAACACTCCCAAACACCGAATTACAAGTGGTTTAGACACACTGAACATGAAAATGGTGTCCGTGACCCTTGTTTTAGCCCTGAGGTTATCTTAGGTCACGAATGGTATCTAACAGTTTTTCGCAAATAACTTTTGATAGAGGAATGCTAGAGCGATGAAAACGCCTTAGATGTGTTCAGCTAGACGATACGGATCGACTGATATGCAACATGACCCTTTCCGGTCAGGTCATGACCTTGACCTGAGGTCAAATTTTCGAGTTGACCTTTCAAGGTCAAGTTATAGTTCATTCGATGCGTCTTGACGAGAGGAACACGATGCCGGTGAAAGTAAGCTCGTACAAGGCTTGGGTCAAAAGTTATTGCAGAAAAACTGTTTCCGAAAAAATCGGCTATTTTTGCAGTTTTTGCCCCCTGCAGGCAAAACCGTTGACGTTAGGTCAAATCTGAGAGAATTACTCAGAAAGGGCGTTAATAGGGCTATCGAATGCACTTTTCCGCGGCGCTGTAGCTCTATTGGTTCCCGAGTTATGCGTTGGCTTCTTGGAAATTTTCGACATTCGACCTGGAAATCGGCGAAATTTTGCCTTCAATGACCTCTGGTGACCTGACCTTTGACCTGACCAAAAAATTGACCGAAGTGATTTCGTCATTATTTTTGACGTTCTTTCGAACGCCGCCTTCCGCGTATCGCTACGTGGCCCAGGAGCCGAGTTACAAGGGGGGGGGGGTGTTCAAACACCCCCCCCCCCCCCAGCAGGGCGTGGAAATCCAGGACCCCCAGCCGGGCGCGGGTTAATTTATGCATTATATGAAAGTAAAATTTTACATTTATTTCAAATGAGCTACACAGGTTATTCCTGAATTGCTGCACAGTTGTGGGCTGTGGCTATATCTGACTCCAAATGATAGTCTGAGCATACCAACCTCACCCCTATTTCTCTCTCGATCCTCAGGTACGTAATTATGGAGACGTTGCAGCGACTGCGGCTGAGCCATGCCGTCATCAACATCCCCATCAACGCCAGCATGTACCACATTCACGAGCGCAAGCAGCCACCCTGGGTGCTCTGGTGACATTACACAGGTCAGCTCAGGACAGCCCCGCTGCCCGTGGGTGTGCCCTTGGCAAAACACCCCGAGGGACCTTCGCTGTCGCATCAGGGCCTAATCAACGACCAAGTCAAATGTGAGGGTCAAATCTGAGGGTTTTTGCGCTTACATAAGGACTTGGCCTCGGCTGAATGAGCCGGGACGCGTATTTATTGCTCATCGTTTGTAGTATTCGGCAAGGCGATGTGTTTTGGTTTTCGTGTGTTTGTTGGGGTCAAAGGGTGCTGTTTTTTGTAGCTCGCTACAGTGAGGGATTTGTCATTTCCAGTCGTTCGCTGGGGTCATTAGTTAGCCAGGTCAGAGTGGTCTGCTGTGCTGGGGGTCTGGGATACTGAGTTAGCCTGAAGTCAGCCAGTAGAGGGCATAGGCGGGCCGCGGCTCGCCTACCTCAGCAGTGCCTGGGCGCCGCCTTGTCGCGAGTGGTCACCTCTGGGAGGCTGTAGTTTGTACGTTATAGGTATTAGCTTCAGTAATCCACCTGACAAAATGTGACGAAGCGTTATAGCATGGGGCGCCACTGAAGGTCCTCCCTCTCCTCAGAGCCGGTCCCCGGGCCCGCTGGGAACCCCATGCCCCCGCGGGGTGGTACCGGTAGTGGATAGCGGTCGCTCACAGCACTGTGATAGGGGTGCATGTGTTGGGTCAGCGCTGCGGAATAACATTAGCTGCAGAGATGGAGCAGCAGTGGAAGCACACAAACATGCCGAGGCTCTCAGAGCCTCGCTATGCACGAGCTTCGCCCTGCTCACAGGCGGGCTGCTGCTTCCTGATTGGTAGACCCCACCTGCCGACAAGTCACGTGATTGACCAGACGTGTTACCGTCCCACCGGAGTGGATTCGATGGGCGGAGTGTGCGGACGGTGACATCAGAGAGAGATAATGCTGGAGTGAGGAGGGTGCTGGATCGCGCCTTTGTATGCGCCAGTCTGGAACCTTTTGATGTGGTTATCTAATGGCGTTACTGTTTCACGTCATTCAGATGTGAAAATGCACGTATTTCGTCAAGAATTGGGTTAGCGGATTGCTGATTCGCAAAATAATATTTGCCAGAAAAAAATTGTTATTTGAATGGCCATGTATGTTATTTTCAACTTAACTTTAGTTTCAGCTTAGTAATTTCGGTTGCTTTGCGCCAGCCCCAGTTCGACTCAAACGTTCGTAGGTGTATAATAGCACCAAAGTTTCGTGGGTCCGGGAACAGTGCGTTGGTCATTGAGCGAGAGTCTTGGTCGGGCTTCTTTAACGTGAACATATGTCTCCGCCACGGGTGATATACGAAGTTGTGCCTCAATCAAACAAACTGCCAACTGGCATGCATGACGCGAGAAAAACCCATATAGACTTACCATCATTGTTTCTGCATGTTCATGATGTTTAAAGGCGATAAAGTGAATTTTCGGTCGTCAGTTAGCGCTTTGGATTGCGTCGGAGGATTGCTGTTGATTCCTAGTAACCTATGCCAATAGTCGTGTGCATTAGGTGGGGGCTGCGTGATATGTTTTATGCGATCTCAGGTACAGTCATCAGCAGTGGGTTTGTTGATTTCAATACAAATTGCTCGGTGAGACTCTGTTTTGGCTGATCCAGGTGACACTGACAAACTGCTCACAGCATAATAGTAGAGACGTAAATGCATCGTATGAATTTTACACTACGATTCCAAAATATGATGATTGGCTATATGATGGTTTATGGTAAAACATGAAAATTAGAAGCCACGTTTATTTCAATCCCACGACAGTCGTACAGTAACTGTAGTACGAGTAACTGTTTGCCTGCTAATTACTTGATTCCATGTCTTAAACTAAAAAAAAACAGTTTTTCATCACGGTTGGCATTTTCTTAACGCTTTGAAGGCTGGCACGCGACGGTGGCTAATTTCCGACTGCGTGCCACGACTCGAGCTCACGTTGCCTATTATGGTCCGTGTCAGTTGTTTTCCGCGTGGGCGCCCGTAGCGTAACTGGTGGTGACATCCTGACCAGGGCCGGCGGAAAACACAAGCAGCATTGTTGTGACGAATGTGCTGGGGTGGGTGGTGAGGGGGAGGGTCCGACTGGACAACACCTGGTCCTCGCGAGGCCTCAGTTGTGGGGAGACCGAGTACCGACCGACCGGCGGATGTGCCGGGTGACGGTCAAACTGCCATTTTAAACGGCACCTTCAAACGGCAATTCACTTATGGAAATTAAACGTGCTTAAAACGTAGCCTCGTTATCAAGTATGCTGGTTGAAGAATTTCTATACCTACGATTGCCGGTTATCATCTGGTCGGTATGGCCATTGACCAGCGCCGTATACCTACTAGACATTTCTAGACATACACTGTGGCACTATGTGGAATACCAGTGTGTATTTATCCCTACCTTTATAGGCTTTATAGCTAGGGGAGGGTGGGGTAAGACGGGCACCCTAACTATGGAGCCATTTTTCGGCCAGTTAGAAACAACATAGAGACGCGAAACTGAGTGAAACCCTTTTTTAAACCCTTTTTATTCCATTTGCCAGAAGATGAAACTTGATTAGATAAGTGAAACTTTTTTAAATATAAAGGTACTGTATTATAGAAAGCCTTCCCAAACGCGTTTCGAACATACGTCGTCCACTCCAGAAGTTTTGAGACTGTCCTCGTAAAAGCCCTATTATCAGTGCTAGATTCTTGTCGTTTTCATGTGTCCTTACCACAGTTGTCATAAGCGTACTTGCGTAATTTTGTTTTTCTACGTTGCAAGAGACGGCTAGGGTATCACCTTGAACACGGCAAGTCGCACGTGTCTTGTCACAGCGGCCAGTATACAGCATGGTCAGGCTGTTAATGTGAGGACAACTTTGAGGGTCGCTAGGCAATAAAGTTTTGTGATTAGCCTGATGAAAATACTCCCAGAAACATTGAAAATTGACTCTTCAGTGTTTTGAGACGAAAGCTGGATGTATTTTTAACGATCCAGACATCAAGAGACAAAGTGTTCAATGAAAGCACACTGACTCCCCCAGACCCAAGAAAACCAGACAGAGCAGTCCACTGGGAAGCTCATAACCAGTATAGCGCCTTTTGGGGCGACTAACGGAGCGAGCGAGAGGGTGAGCCTTGCACGTGCGAAATTTCGAGGGGGTACCTCCAGCTGACTTGTGCACGGCACCCTACTAACCGGTCTCTAGCGATGTGCCAAATTTGAGCACAATCGGCCCAGCCGTTCTCGAGATCTGGAAGCGGCACCCTGCACGTGCGCACGTGCAAAATGGGTCCCAACTGACTTTTGCACGGCACCCTACTAACCGGTCCCTAACCATGTACCAAATTTGAGCGCCATCGGTCCAGCCGTTCTCGAGATCTGGAAACGACCCCTGCACGTGCGCACGTGCAGCAGCACCCCAACTCTGGCACATGGATATGCAGTGCCTAGTGGGTGCCTACCTACATGCCAACTTTCAGCGCAATCGGCCAAGTAGTTACCGAGATATTGCAACAATTACAAAAGTGACACCTCTTCGTTTTGCACGTGGCACGTGCATAAGGGGTCACCCACATGCATCGGGAATAGTCCAATACTTGGTAGAAGGAATGAAGCTACCCCACAAAAATTACCGCATGTAAATCGGTCAAGTGGTTGCTGAGATATAAGCCTCGCAAAAGCGTGACCACGGCCGGCCGGCCGGCCGGCCGGCCGGCCGCTCATACTCAGAAATTTCCGTTATTCTACGTAAGACTCCGCTCGCTTCGCTCGCTCCGTAATAATCCCATACTTTGACAAAAGGCATTATATTCATTAGCTGGGTCCCGTGCACGGCACAAGGAATGATTCCTGAAAGTTCTGAGGGAGTTGAGAAAGTCGACAATTCGTCGCAAGAGGCCGGATCTCTTCAAATTTGGCCAGAGGCACCTGCACCAGGACAACGCACCCACCCACAAGCCCATCATGGTGACGAGCTAACTAACACAGATGGGCATCAAAACTGTTCCTCATCCTCCCCACAGTCCAGATCTGGCCATCTGTGGCTTCTGGATTTTCCCCAGACTGAGCGAGAAGCTCAGGGGACGCCGGTTGGAGGATGTTGAGGAGATGAATGAGGCTGTGACAGAGGCTCTGGGCACCTTCACTTTGAAGGACTAGCAGCGGGCCTTCAGGATGTGACTGGGGCGCTACAACAAGTGCATTGAACTCGGGAGGTCTCATTTCGATAGTCACTGGAGTTTCATGCTTTTCTGAAACAACTAACTGTCTCTACTGAAAAAGTCTCAAAACTTCTGGAGTGCACGTATCTTCGTCAGTGCTAGTTTCCCATAATACAAAATCAAAAATGATGAAACTTAACTGATGAAAACTGATGAAAGATAAAGCTGAAGAAACTTAAAGCTGATGCAACAAATAAACTGTAGCTATTTTTGCAAAACCTTGCAAAAAAAACCGTCTTGCCCCACCTCATGGGGTAAAACGGCCACATGACATGGGTAGGGTAAGACGGCCAGGCACCTTCACCGACCAGCACAGATGGTAATAAATACTCGAGATTAACCGTATTGATACGTTGGTTTCAAGTCAGCTTCGGAAAAGGTAGTGTACGAGATTGGTGCAGAATGCGTATGCTTGTTACGGAGCGAGCGAAGCGAGCGTAGTCTTTCCTTAGATTAACGGAAATTTCTGAGTATGAGCGGCCGGCCGGCCTGCCGGCCGTGGTCACGCTTTTGCGAGGCCTATATCTCAGCAACCACTTGACCGATTTACACGCGTTAATTTTTGTAGGGTAGCTTCATTCCTTCTACCAAGTATTGGACTATTCCTGATGCATGTGGGTGACCCCTTATGCACGTGCCACGTGCAAAACGAAGAGGTGTCCGTTTTGTAATTGTTGCAATATCTCGGTAACTACTTGACCGATTGCACTGAAAGTTGGCATGTAGGTAGGCACCCACTAGGCACTGCATATCCATGTGCCAGAGTTGGGGCGCTGCAGCACGTGCGCACGTGCAGGGGTCGTTTCCAGATCTCGAGAACGCCTCGACCAATTACCCTCAAATTTGGTACACAGTTAGGGACCGGTTAGAAGGGTGCCGTGCACAAGTCAGTTGGGACCCATTTTGCACGTGCGCACGTGCAGGGTGCCGCTTCCAGATCTCGAGAACGGCTGGGCCGATTGTGCCCAAATTTGGCACATCGCTAGAGACGGGTTAGTAGGGTGCCATGCACAAGTCAGTTGGAGGTACCCCCTCGCAATTTCGCACGTGCAAGGCCCACCCTCTCGCTCGCTTCGTTAGTCGCCCCAAAAGGCGTTATACTGGTATATAGGCCCTATAGTTCAGAAGCCTTGTAAAGCCGTCTTTCATTTTCATTGTAAGAGGATAAATTGTACCGAAAGAATATTGCTGATACATCTATAGAGTATCGAAATCGAACATATTTTCACCAGAAATGCTTCTTTTTTCCTACAGTAACAGAAATATTTTCACCATTTGGAGACCCATTCATGGATACATAGGTACTTGCCCCGTCTTACGCCAAACTCAATTTCAGAAGTTCAGCACGATTTTTCTAGATCCACGATAAATGAACACCGGTGGCATATGAGTGTACCACAAGTGATTGCGATTTTTTAACTCTACTGTGCTGCACACAAAAGCTTGCACAATAAACTATGGGTGCTTTCAATGAAATTAGTGTTTTTAAAGAAATCGAAATAAAAGATAATTGACGGAACACAAGTCACCAGGCTTCGATGGTAGTGTGTGGTGGGAAAGGCGATTCTGGTCCTAATTTTTCTCGCTCGTAGCGCAGAGCGCTATTGGTTTGGTCTGCAGAGGGGGTGCCCGTCTTACCGGTCTTACCTACCCTGACCGTTTTACCCCACTTTCCCCTATATACCTATACCAAAATACCGTCGAATGCGGTATTTTGACGGAAATGCGATGCGCTTGGTGTATTTACGGCTTACGACTTACCTATGACCAAGTATGACCATTGGCCATCCTTATAATCCCTTGTAATATGTACACATGAACCCGCGTTGACATGTGAACTGCTTCGCAAGAATATGTCTAGCCTGAATGAGAGTGAAAGGAATGTCAGAACCTATCACTTTCACCTCTGTGTTTCCAAAGTGTCAGAGGCTTCCCGCTTCAGTTGATCAATGAGATCTGGTAATGCTATAAACTGCATTACGTTTCTACATATAAGGCTGTATATTTTCCTCCGATCTGCAAATATACGTATGTAGGGGAGAGTGGGGTAATTTGGCCGGTGGTGTAAATTGGCCGCCCCCACCTGTACGAAAGCTGATAAAAGTGAATGAAATATCTTTGGTCTCTATTCATTTGTCATCGGCAGAACTAACTCGAGGACAAATGTCAAAACTTACCCCCTCTTAGTTTTATTCAAAATTAATAAAACGTGAATTTCGTTAGAAAATGGTAACTTTTACTTCCGTTTAAAAATTTGTATAACATGTAGTATTTGGGCTGTAAACGAATTCCAACATTATAGCGCCATTCTTGAGGGTGTTCAGAGGTTCCACGAACAATTTCATGTAGTTCTGTACAGCCATGATAACTTTATAGACAAAAATTTTCAGAATGGCAATGTGGGGTTATTTGGCCGGGTCTAGCGGGGCAACTTGGCCGGTGCGCTCAGAGTCACTATGCTGGGACGGCCGTGCTGTCATGGTCAATTATACCATAAAGGACATGATTCATGACCAACTTTGACTACCTTGATGCCATATTTCCTATTGGACAGCTGTAAGGGCATGTGACGTCATCAAAGGTTATCTAACGCTTTTTTGCTAATAAATACTTACAGAAAAAAGATACAGCCGCGCAAATGGTCTCATTGTGTTCAGCTCGTCAAGGCGCATCGAATGATATGCATGATATACATGATGACATGATGACTCACGTAACCTTGAGGTCAAGCGACCTGAGGTAACGTGACCTGAAGCCAACCTTTGACCTTAACCTCTCGAGGTAAATACATACATGTTTCGATGCGGAATGACGAGAGAATTACGATGGTGCTTTTAGTTTTGGCCTAGCTTGTTTACATCAAAAGTTATTCGTAAAAAACTGTCATCGCATCTAGAGCCGCTATTTTGACTATTTTCGACCCCTGTGACGGCTGAGTCAACCTCCAAAATGCTTCAAATGCGTCGTAGGACAAGCGTCATTGCTGAATGTGAAGCTGACTCGCCTATAACAAAAATCATGGCCTCAAACTAACACCGGCCAAATTGCCCCACACCCCCGGCCAAATAACCCTGCTAGTGGGGCAATTTGGCCGCTTTGCAGACCTTTGTAATGCGTCACAATTTCAATATAAGTAGTTACTCTATCATTTCAAGTTTACTGTCCAGTAAAGTAAAATGTATGCCACACCTGTCAGCGTTGAGAAAATGCAGAAATGTGTTGTCATTTTTTAGTTACATCGTTTTCTAAAAAAAGCGGCCAAATTACCCCACTCTCCCCTACTTAGGTACATATACTAGCGTATACCGCAGCTACAACAGGACATCAACCAATGGACCATTAGATCGGGGGCCTCTGCACGTCAGCAGGCCGCCATTTTTGCTGGGCGGGCGATTTTTGCGCGCGGGAATGGCGCTGGCGCGCCGGTCGGCGTCGTCGTCGAGTTCCCGGTACGAACCGGCGCGTCGTGGACGATATGGCGACGATACGCTCGCGAGCGCGCCAGTTTTCCGTCTGCTCCGGGCGCCTATAAGAGACACGCGACATTGGCGTGCCGGCAGACGTCCTGTGGACGAGCAACAGCCAGCCAGTGCAGCGACTGCATCCTTGGACGAGCGCGCTGATATGAAGGTAGGTGACGAAGGCAGTTGATGCGTTAGAGCCAAGACTTAATTGTTTGTTAAGGGAGACAGTTACACAACATGAATATAAATCTTCAATACCTATGATTACCGTCACAATTTGGTGAAGCATACCTAACTGATCAAAGTGTCTATTGTAAACTTGTTTTCGATCCTGTTGGCGTGACATATGTGTTGGTTTAATCGGCGGCGATTTTGTTTCAGGTGCTGTGGGGTCTGGTGGGTTTGGTGGCCTGCGCCGCGGCGTACCCGCAGCCGCAGACCCAGGGGTTCGGTCCTGCGTCGGGAAGCCTTTCCCTGCTGTTTACCACGGAGCCGCCGGTGGACCCGGCGCTGCCGCTGCCGCCGCCGCACATAAAACCGTTCGGCAACCCCACCGGGTTTACCAGCACGGCGTTCACGGCCGAGGAGCGGGAGGCTGAGAAGGCGCGTCGGCAGGGGACCACCGTCACCACGGCGGCCCCGTACTCCGGGTCAGTCTCGGACCAGCCTGCGGCCCCAGACTCTGGGTCAATCCCGGAGCAGCCTGCGGCCCCAGACTCTGGGTCAATCCCGGAGCAGCCTGCGGCCCCAGACTCTGGGTCAATCCCGGAGCAGCCGGCTCCTCTGAACTCCGGGTCAATTCCGGACCAGCCTGCGGCCCCGGACTCCGGGCCATTCCCGGACCAGCCTGCGGCCCCGGACTCTGGGTCAGTCCCGCAGCAACCGGCTCCTTTGGAATCCGAGTCAATTCCGGACCAGCCGGTGATTCTGGACTTCGGGTCAGTTCCGGTCCAGCCTGCGGCCCCAGACCTTGGATCGATTCGGGACCAGCCGTCGGCCCCGGACTCCGGGCCAGTCCTGGACCAGTCGTCGGCCCCGGACTCCGGGTCAAGTCCGGACCAGCCTGCGGCCCTGGACTCTGGGCCAGTTCCGGACCAGCCGGTGATTCTGGACTTCGGTTCAGTCCCGGCCCAGCCTGCGGTCCCGGACTCTGGGTCAGTTCCGGACCAGGCGGCACCCCTGATCCCGGAGCGGGGGCCGGAGCCGGAGGTGCCCACGGGGCCGGGTCAGGTCGACACCGTGCCGGCTCTCAGTGGGTACGACACGGCTGGATCGCCGACTCCAGGACAGAGCGCTGAACTGCCGACCCCAGCTGTGCTACAGCCTTCCATAGGTGAGCCGGAGCCCATCGCGGGCGGAGCCGGCAGTGGAGCGCCCGCACCAGGTGAACCCGAAACGGCTACAGGTGAACGGGCGCCCTCAACAGATGGACTGGTACCCACTCCTACTCAGACCAACAATGGGGCACCCGCTGCAGCTGAACCAAGCTATGAACCGACCATTACCACCGAACCAAGCTTTGAACGGACAGTCACAACCGAGCCAAACTATCAGCAGGACATTGTTGCTGATCCAGAGCTTGACACCGCTGCGTCGCAATTCGTTAACGCTAAACCGAATCTCCCCAATCCTGATCCTGAAATTATATACGCGCAGAAAATCCCGGCGACGTCTACAGAAGTGGGACCCGTCTATGAAGTGTCAACTGAATCTTTGCCCACCAACGGGCCATCCACTGACGGATATTTGAACACTTTTCAAACATCTACCGAAGCTGAGCCCAGCTACGAACCCTCCACCACAGTTCAAACAGAGCTCTCTTCAACTGAACCTCAGCCCATTTTTACTGATACAGCATCCACTCTCCCGGTATCGGACTACGATATAACCACTACGGCAGGCCAGGAATCCACTACGGTTGGCGGAGAGTCTACTACGGCAGGCCAGGAATCTACTACGGTTGTCCCGGCATTCACCACTGAAGAGGAGCCGATCTACGGATCAACCGCCGTACCAGAGTCAGAGCCGAGTGTTCAAACCCCGACCACTGGCAGTCCGACGCCCACCTCAGCCGAACCATCTTCTGAAAAGGTGCTCAAGGGCCTGCCAAAGGCAAGAAAGCCTTCCTTCACTCTACCATGGAACTTCTAATCCATGAAAACCATTCACATTCCTATGGAGAGTGAAAGCAGTTTGGCTGGAAATGCTCACGAGGCATTGTGATGTATCTAGGTGTCGCGAATTATTCATCACATGTTGTCCTTGCATCGTCACACCCATAATTCATCAACTGCTGTTAGTGGTTAGTGAGCTTGTATGCCAGCACAAGGCTGTGTGCATGGTGTGCGCGTTGTAGTTGTGCTTTCTTTTCTTTTGGTGCTGATTTTTCTTGTTACATGAGAGATCGCTAAGAAATAAGAATGTCGGTGCGATAATTTCGGTGCGTTATTAGTAGCGGACTTGTACGCATTGACCGACGAATTCTCTTTTTGTGCTTATATAGGTAGTTACAGTGATATTGATAGATATATTCGCTTTGTTATGTGAGGCGCGCTTTGTAAATAAATACCTACCTACACCTAAACGTTACGCTCTTAGCGCTGAGTTTCGGCACAGAGATGTCGATTCAAAACTGGCACACACACATACGACTTTATCCTGGGGCTAAGGTTGGTCGAATTTCGAAATGCTATCCTGCACAGCAAACTAACAAATGTTTTGTGAAATTCAACAAGATTTGATCAAGCACGTCTGATACTTGGCCCAAAGACTGCATGCTTTGGGGCAGCGTTCTATAGTTCCGACGTGGCCGATAGTTTCCACTGCTGCGTTGTGGTCTCCCTGCGATGCACGGTCTCTCGCCGGCTACTATTAACCTAGGATACAAAGCTACATAGCTGGTGCTTTAGTGACACGTTGTTTGATGTTTACCTCAGATTCCTAAACTTGAGGACACTGAACATTATAAGCGCCACCATTACTTGCAGTGTCTACTGTCTAATGCCTCGGCATCGTCCTATAACTAGTGCCTGAGCATCGTATCAAACCATAGGTAAGATACCTACCTAACTATAGTTCGATACGATTGCGGGAACTTCCATACTACGAAAGCAGTGGTAGAAAACTGATTGATGGAAACTCCAAGGCTGCTATCAAGCAAAATTTTTGCAAAATGATTTTGTGAAAAAACTCGCTTTTACCTATCTAATGCTAAGGCGTTATCAGGTCGTAGAATCAAACGGGAAATTACATCAGAAAGAAACACGAGGCGCCAGGGAGGAATGGGCCGGTTCACTTATATAATATGTTATGCGAACCTAAATATGATCAAGTTACCTACACCGCTTTGAGGCATTTTACCAGCGTTTTGTATCATAAACATGATATTTGTTACATAACTATAAAGCCGTAAAATAATAAAACTGTTATAATGTAAACTGTTATGTTATAGTTGTACTGTGCGAAATAAGGAAGCCATGCATTGAGCGGCAAAAAGACGGGGACTTAAAAAGCTGCATCTATAATAGTTCTAGGGGCTCGTCACTGAACATTCACAGGGCCCTAGCTCATAGCTGTCAAAACGCCTTAGCTAAGACTGTATGCCATTGAACCGATATTATCAGTTCATTGGTTTTGATTTAGTTCATAGTGACATAAAGGCCTTTTTTGTTGGGAGGAAGCTGTTTAGTCTTTCGGCCTGAAAAGGTCATTGTGAAGCTATGCGATGATAGGTTGGGATGTAGATTGTATATTGTATATTGTAGATTGTAGATTGTAGGCTAGATTTGTAGAATATTTGATTTGTAGAGTAGATTGTAGATTGTAGAATGTAGATTGCAGATGGGATGTACCTAGATTGTAGATTGTAGAAGGCCTATAGACTTTGGGCTGTGTGGACCGCTGACGGAGCGCCGCAGCGGCAGACAGTAGATACCGTTCCGGGGGACGGGAATGCTTATGTCCCGATAGGACAGTCGCTGTGCTCAAACGCCGGATCCCGTTATCCCCGGAGATGATGTAGTCTTTGCCCTCATCCCCCGGCTGTCTGGTAGGGGTGGGGTGATCGCCTGCCCGGAGAGGGAAGACGAGGGAGATGTGGATGGACTCACCCTGAGGACGGAAAGCAAGGATGATCTTAACCCGCGCCCCACTGGGGTCTGTGTATAACACGCCCTACTGGGGGGGGGGGCTATTCATAGCCCCCCTCCTAACTCCGAAACTACTGGGCCGATCGTCAAAATTCAAACGGTGTCTGATAGCCCCGGAAAAACTGTCGAGCGAAACCTAATTTCATTGACCTCGAGGTCACCGATGACGTCACAGGTCAGGTCAAAGTAAAAATTATTAGCATTTTGGCTTGTTCACATTTTGGGCTCTGGCCGCCGTCTTACAAGTCAGATCAGGCTCATTTTTGGTACACACACTCTTAAACAGATGCTCTAGATACCCTGAGGGTACCAAGCTTTTACTTTGATTTTCAGGTCAAGGTCAGGTCATCACAGGTCACGAAAATATTTTATCATGCGTCGGTCACGTGACACATGTTTTATGGTCCATTTAGGCCATAGATTTCGAATTTGATGTCGTCTGTGTCATTCGAGATCATTTTGAGTCGAATTTAGCTTAGGTCAGGTCACTTTCAGGTCAAAAAAGGTCAAATTTTGAAGTTAAAATTTTTCAACAAAAAAGGTGTCTATTGGATGCAGTTTGAGCTCAGGAACACGATGGTGCCATTTATATTGGTGTACGATGTCAAATACGTACTGAAAAATTGATTTGAAAAATTAATAATTGTGAATTTTTTGCAATAATGCGTATAACTTGGCCATTTTTGAAGATATTTAGCTAAAACTTGCTAGAGTTAGTCATAATCAAGCGTTCTGTCACATATATTCCGCTTTTTTCGAAAAGTCAAAAACTTTTTGAAAAAAATATAAAAATACATATTTTGAATATTATTATATCAAATTTTCGAAATTTTCAAAATTTTGAAAATTCGAGATAGCAGTTTGATAGCACGGTCAATTCTGAGTCCTTTCATGCAAAGAAATTGGATCTAGCTTAAAAACTGAGCTCTTGGGAGCGATTGCCGTGGTTCAATGTTTTGCGTCGAAATCGGCCGAACATGACGTCACTCTGACGTCATTTCCGGCCGACCTATGGTAGCTACGAAGTTCAAATTTTGACACAAGGTGTCAAATTGATGCAGCCAAAGGTACTGTAAGTTTGGCGTTGATCCGTCAAGCGGTTTGGAAGTTATTGCAGAAAAACGGGAGGGGGGGCTATAAATAGCCCCCCCAGTGGGGCGCGGGTTAACCCTCGCCCGCACATGCCATTTTCCCATCCTAGAACGCACATGGGGGGGGGGGGTTGCCACCCCCCCCCCCGCGCCATTTCGTTCCTGTTGGAGATAGAGCTTAGCAGTAAAGACCAAAAAGATTCTTTGGGAAGAGACGAATCCAATGATACCCAGTTTTACCTTCTCAGGTCAGTCATTGACCTTCCAGGTCAGGTCAAACTAAAAAATGTTGCTGTTTTGGGTCACCGTTGGATATCAAGTGCGCTGCTTATCAAATACCGATGACGATGCTGTTTTCTGGTGCCAAGCCAGCTAGAACCTCTTTGTCACACTATCCGACCAGAATTTTGCTGCTGAGGTCATTTCAGGTCAAGTTAGGCCAAGGTCAATTATATGTGTTTGTATGTCTGTGTGTGTCTGTGTGTATACTGATGTGTGCACCGATTGTTTTTGGGTCCATATCACATGAAATCATGATCTGAGAAGCTTTTACCAAAAATGCAGTCAAAAAACTTCACAAAAAGTAAATTCAGCTTGCCTAAAACGCAATTATCTTAGATGACCTAGGTTGACCTTGACCCTGACCTTGACCCCTGTACATCGTCGAACAACATGTCCCATGATAGGTGGGAGGTAAGACTGGCAAAAAAGGCCGAAATCAGGGTGTCAAAAGCTCACAAGGCCCATGGCAAACGCAAGATGTTGAGAATTGGCCATTTGGGTCATGACATGACCTGAAAAACAAGGTCATATCTCCGAAACCAAAAATCACAGAAACTTGAAATTTTCAGTGGACATCAAGAAAGGATAGACGAGCAGCTATACGAAAAATCAGCCTTCTAGCTATAAAAATGTTGAGTGCAGAGCAGAAAGACTGCCTGGGGGGGGGGTGGCAACCACCCCCCCCCCCATGTGCGGGCGAGGGTTAAGGGCATGGGTGTGCTCTAGCCTCTAGTCCCTCTTATGTTGATGGATGAGTCTGGTTAGAGCTTATCTTTTGATTTATAGGTACGGTTACACGTATATCCATCACCCAATTTGTCGCTTAACTGTTTAACTCGGTTTTCACGACAAAAAAAAACATGTTTCGTGCACTGCTCTGGTTCTCCGTATCCAAACGTGTCTGCATTCACAGTGGATAACAATTATTGTCGGACACAAGTTGCACTATATTCACATTACTCACGCACCGCAGGGATCGTTCTTATATCACAACATCGGCCGCTCGCAGCGCCTCGGTCGGTCGGTCGGTTGGTAGCAGACCGGGCGCGCAGTTCAGGGTCGTCGCCCTTCCCGAGGTCCCGCTGCCGGCCATTGTGACGTCATTTCTGATGTGACGTCACGCTGTTACCTCCTCAGACACTGATCGTCTCCGCGTCCTCCCTCTTTTCAAACTGGCCCTGCTTAGTAGGCGGGCGGCACGTAGGACTGCTGGGGCGGCTGTGTGGGCACCGTCGGGGGCACATAGGTCTCCAGGGGGGCTGAGGGAGCCGCCGGGGCCGGGGGCACGTACCCGGCGCCGGGCTGAGGGGCGCTGCCGCTCACCACCAGCGGCTGAGAGGGCTTCTGGCGCGGGTCGGGGTGCCACGGCGCCCTCTCGCCGTCCGGAGGGAACACCACCTCAGGAGACGCCGGCTGCGGCGGCACGTAGCTCTCCTGTGCCCTCACAGGAGCGTTAGCCGCAGGCTGAGACACAGGCTGAGCCGCAGGCGGCACGTAGCTCTCCTGTGCCCTGACAGGAGCGTTAGCTGCAGGCTGAGCTACGGACTGAGCTGCAGGCTCAGTTGCAGGCGGGACGTAGCTCTCCTGCACCGTCGCAGGCTGAGTTGCAGGCGGCACGTAGCTCTCCTGTGCCCTGGCGGGCGCCGCGCTGGCCACAGGCTGAGTCGCAGGCGGAGCGTAGGAGCTGGGAAGTGTGGCGGCCAGTCCTGCCGTCGCCACACACAACACTCCAAATATCGCCTGAAAATTACCGGTTGCTGGTTAACGGGTGGCATTATAAACCAAAAAGCTTTCGAAGCTTACCCATAAAACCATTCAATTTATATTTTAATTAGCAGACAAGGCCGGTCTGCCTTCTGCGATACTTTGTGAAACAGTTCAAGTTTTCGAGGTAGAGATTGGTGAAGATAAGAAGGTCCGAAATGTCTTTGAGCTTGCACAGTTCATTAAGAAAAATAGGCAGATCTTATTGTCCCCACTGGACTGTACGATCATAATGAGTCAGAGGAACACTACGATTTGTAAACTCTTTTACGTCGCGTGCTCTTTCTCAGACTTTGGTGTCGTGCCAGCTGAATAGACAATGCAAACAAGGTTGGTGTGCTTACCTTCATGTTTACCTCCTGAGCCGCGGTTTCCTGTCCTTCCCACGTGTGACCGTGTGCCCGCGGTCGGGTGGCCTCTGATCGCCCGCCGCCCGCCGCCGTTCTTATAGCCGTCCTCTGGGAGTCTCCGCGCTGCGTCTCGGACTCGGCTGACACAGCGGCGCTGCGCACAGGTGTCAGCCGGGTCCGAGAACCGCCGGGGATTTCCGAGCCCTTCTCCGCACGTGCCGCCTCCCGCCCTCATCTGATGGGGGGGGGGGGAGTCCAGAACAGGGAATTCTCGGTACCTGACCTTAGCGGAAGGGGGTCATTGAGGCCTGAATATTGGTGGGAGTTGGGCGGGAAGCATGACCTCGCCCGATTCCTTTCGATATCTATAATTATTTGGGTAATAACTTGCTACAGGTGTCTGTTGCCATGCCACTTGTGAATGCATATGTTTTTTTTTTCGTCGAGTGAAGGTTTATCTCGACTGCAGAGGAAGATGTTTGAAAATTGCAAATATCTGACACAGAGAACATTCATCTATTCCATGTATCGGTCAAACTTTGAATACTGGATGGCGGATATCAATGATAGATAAACAAATCAATTACATATATTGTAAACATTCTTCCGTAGTATGTATTTCGCTCATTCCTCGTTTCGTTCTGGGCTTTGAGATCCTTGCTCTCTGGGATTGTATATTTGGCCTTCTGACAGAGGAATCAATTCCCCCATCTGACCCCGGGCGGTGGTTAGCGTGGCTCGGCGACCAGCCCTCGGGACGGAATAGCCCGCGAGACGGCACGGCAGCTGGGGCGTTCTACCGCTCCTCTGTCAGCCTATCTTGGCGGTCTTTTAGCTCTACCCCGAAGTGGTTCAAGAGGTGAAAGACCGAGAGGTCGACAGGCTCGACCCTCAAAAAGCTCAAGTACAGGCCACCGCCGAAGTAATGTGAGGTATGTGCAGTCGTAATTAGCCCTCGCCGGACCTAACTATTGGTTTTCTATATACCCCCTCCAACAAGGCCGAGGGGGAGGGCAGGTACGGCCCCCTCGCCTTTTCGCCCCTGTGGAGCTAGAGCGGCGCGGAAATAACGAGCGCGTGCACCGTTACGAAGCTTCCATTCATCCTTTTATGTGGTTCATGTTTTTGTGTTTTTGCGCTTTTACCTTTATACATTATGCATATATTTACACATTTTATTCATTTATGCATCAGCGCTTGCCGTTTAGGCATGAATGTTTTTGTGTGTGCGTGTTTGTATGCTTGTCGATGTTTGTGTGTGTTGTAACTGCAGTCGTAACTGGGCCTCGGTCTGTGGTTGTTTTTTGGTCAAATAAAAAAAAAATAAACGATATGAGACGCAGCGATCGGTACCCGATTTTAAGGTCTCAGATCAACCGGTGACCTCTGAGGTCAGGTCAAGTGGCCCAAGGTACGGGTTTGGTTTTTGGCGTATTTTAGCTTAACTAAATCATAAAATAGCTACTGTCTGCATTATTATGCCAAAGTAGGTACATCTAAACGATTTCTGGCAACCCATTACACTGATTCGGCAAATCCGATCATGCCCTAGGTATTCATCTTGATGTGTGTTAAACATAGGCGGCGGAACGGGGAGGGCACCGGGGTACCATGCCCCCCCCTTGATTCTGGCATTTTAACATTAGCCCTATGGGCATTGGGCGTTGCATGGAAAGAATAGAACCAAAAGTCGGCTGTCCCCCTTTAATTGAAGGTGTTCCGCCGCTACTGGTGTTAAATTTTGTTTCGATACACCTAGGCATTTTATAGATATTTGGCAAAACTTAAAGGGGACAAAAAAGTGGTTCCCCACCGCGCAGAAGGCATGGCCTGGAGGCCCACCGCCTGCCGGGTTAAGATAGTTTGACCTGACACTGTACATCCATGTTTTCTTTTCATTCGCTTGTAAAACAGCGGCGTGTCTCCGAGTCATCAGGTCTTTGGGTCACATCAAGTGGCTTATCCTATCAACATTAGGTAAATAATTGTTTACCCTAGCAACACCCTTGCTAAGCTTACCTTCCGCGATACCTACTGGTTGTTTGGAAACAGTCTTGAGTCGATAAGGCCAAGGGTAAAAATAGTTTACCAAACGAATAGCTTGAATTTTTGATAGTTTTAAGGTAAGGTAAGGCCAATTTCGCGACCACTATTAGATACAAGTTAATAAAATGGCAAAGAGATGACGAAATGAATTTGCATCTCTTTCGGTCAAAAGCCATCCTCAAGTCTCAACCATCGTTTATTGGTACCTACCTAAATGTTATTCAAGTCTCCAAAAACTGGCTAGGTTTTCCGCACGGTCAAGGAATAGATGCTGGCATAACTGCTTACTTTACAATGCCATTGGAACCATTATGTAACAGCCCACACTAAATTCTGAGATATTCATTGTCGCCTGCGTCATGGCGACACGCAAAGGGTACGCCGACGGTGCACCGCGCTAAATGACATTGACAAGACCTTTCTGGAGCCTCGTTTGGGGCGCGCGGCAGGCACGAAACCATAGACCGCGTTATAGCTGCAATAGAAACAGAAACAGATGGACGCTCCCAGAGACCCCTGCCTGGTACGGGCTGAGTCATTTCCGGTTACAGTGGAGCCGACAGACTCGTCTGCCCAGTCAGACAGACTTCTATAAGTGCGCGCGACATTTGAATGATTGATTTGGATGTAGTAAGTAAATAGATTACCTATTCATGATATCGTCCTGAACTTCCCTCATTTTAAGAATTCCTATGCTACTTGTTAGGTGGGTATGTCAAAATATTATCACTTTGGATATTGATTTAAAATGTATCGGCCCAGACCTTCACCAGTAACACAATGGAATGCAAACCTTTGCATGATTTTCTTATTACGGTGCGAGCGAAGCGAGCGTAGTCTTTCCTTAGATTAACGGAAATTTCTGAGTATGAGCGGCCGGCCGGCCGGCCGGCCGGCCGTGCGGACGCTTTTGCGAGGCTTATATCTCAGCAACCACTTGACCGATTTACACGGGGTAATTTTTGTAGGGTAGCTTCATTCCTTCTACCAAGTATTGGACTATTCCCGATGCATGTGGGTGACCCCTTATGCACGTGCCACGCGCAAAACGAAGAGGTGTCAGTTTTGTAATTGTTGCAATATCTCGGTAACTACTTGGCCGATTGCGCTGAAAGTTGGCATGTAGGTAGGCACCCACTAGGCACTGCATATCCATGTGCCAGAGTTGGGGTGCCGCTGCACGTGCGCACGTGCAGGGGTCGTTTCCAGATCTCGAGAACGGCTGGACCGATGGCGCTCAAATTTGGTACACGGTTAGGGACCAGTTAGTAGGGTGCCGTGCACAAGTCAGTTGGGACCCATTCTGCACGTGCGCACGTGCAGGGTGCCGCTTCCAGATCTCGAGAACGGCTGGGCCGATTGTGCTCAAATTTGGCACATCGCTAGAGACCGGTTAGTAGGGTGCCGTGCACAAGTCAGTTGGAGGTACCCCCTCGAAATTTCGCACGTGCAAGGCTCACCCTCTCGCTCGCTCCGTTAGTCGCCCCAAAAGGCGCTATACTGGTAAATTATATTGCTTTTAAACCAATGAAAAGTACAGGGTGTCCAGAAAAAACGGATACTATTATTATTTGCTGTAATTCCGAAAATAAACACCGCACATTTTAAAATGGCACATGCTTGTATTCGTAAAAATATGGCAAAACAGGCAGCAGGTGCCACATGGCATATAAACCCTTTGGTTAGTCGTGGCAGCTCCTCAAAGTAGATACTCAATGTGAGCGGCCTTCCGGCGGATCAGCTCCAGCACTAGCACGGTCTGCAGGTGACTGATGGTCATGTTGACCATCTCGGAGGGCAGACAGACAACTTCCCAACGACGCATTACAGTGCTCATGAGTTTTGCCAAATCTTGCACTATAAGCACATGAAGTTGGAACAAAATCGGCACGTGCGATAATGAATGAGACTTAATTTCCGTAGTATCTTTTTTTCTGGACACCCATAGAAAGCTAGGCACATATGTAAGCACATATAGGGGAGAGACGGGAGAATTGAGACGCAGGAGAATAGGGGCACGCCAATATCTAAAAATGGACAACATCCTTGCACGATTTTTGCCTTTACCTTTTGATTCATAGGTATGTGTCCTGCAACGATGGGAAGCCTCACCACCCCTTTTGTGGCCGTCGGTTGGGCTGTGCTGGCTGAGCACCAAAAACCTTTTTTTCGAGTGTTCTTCTGAGTTGTCTGTGTATTTTATATGACATACTATCTTTCTTTCAACATGTTACGATGTTAGCTTAACACCGTCTTTAACCCGCGCCCCGTAGGGCTATCGGCGGACCCTACCACCCGAAGGGAGGGGGGGGGGCGTTTCGCCCCCCCCCCCTAAGATCTCGGAAATTATGATGATGGGTCGATAACCGAACCATTTTTAGTGGTTCTTTGTGTATGAAACTTAAAGAAACTAGCTAATATAAATCTGTTTTATAGATAGATGAATACAAATACCAGTAAAACGCCTTTTGGGCGAAGAACGAGCGAGCGAGATAGCGAGCCCTGCACGTGCGCAAGGGCGAGAGGGTACTTCCAACGGGCTTGTGCAAAGCACCCTTCTAATCGATCGCTAGCGGTGTGCCAAATTTGAACGCAATCGGCCCAGCCGTTTCTGAGATCGGGAAGCGGCATTCTGCACGTGCGCACGTGCAAACGGGGTCCAACAAACTGACTTTTGCACGGCACCCTACTAACCGGTCCCCAATCGTGTACCAAATTTGAGCGCAATCCGCCCAGCCATTCTCGAGATCTGGAAACGCCCCCTGCACGTGCGCACGTGCAGTAGCACCCTAACCGCAACACATGGAATGCATTGCCTGTGGATGCCTACCTATATGCCAAGTTTTAGCGAAATCGCCCCAGTAATTACCGAGTTATTGAAATGGGAACAAATTTGGCACCTCTTCTTTTTGCATTTTGCACGTGCACTGGGGGTCCCTCACATAGATCAAGAATATCCGACCTTTGGTAGAAGGGATGCAGCAGTACCCTACAAAATTACCGCAAGACAATTGCCCAAGCGGCTGCTGAGATATGGGCCTCTCAAAATCACTACTTTTGGCAAAACAG